CCTTCCATTGGCATCCATGGACAGTCAGGGCTCAGGAGGTAGGATCAAAGTCCTGGGAAACAGAGATCAGCCCCAGAGATTCCATGTGCCCACAACACCTCTGAATCCACCTGCACTTTCCCACTTCTTCATCTTTTTTTTTAGCATTAATACTTCCATGAAAGGTGCATTCCTATGCAACTTTGGACAGAAAGTTTTTTTTCTGTCTAAGTATGTCTAGGATTGCTACTTAAGTAGGCAAAATCAGAATAACTGTATAATGCATAGAACTCCTCTGTCTGGAAGCATCCTTAGAGCATGGAGAGGGTACTCTAAATTGGCCTAAGTCTGCATTGTGCAGCTATTTTGTCTTTTCTAATTTTTTCTGCAGAAAAAAGCAATAGTGAAAAAGCATGGGAGGCTCACAAGAATCATAAAAGCCTCATCTGGAAGCATCCAGTAGCACAGACCTCATTGCTTACTAACTCTACATCATGGGCTGCATTTTGATTTAGTCCTATTTAAGTGTAAAGTGTTGGGAAAATTCAGGCAAATCCTGGCAGAAAAGGGTTGCTTATATGTGCCTTTGTGTTATAAAATCAAACCTGCACCCCTTTCTCAGAAAGCAGCAGTATTCCAAGCCAGGTCACTGTTTAATGCTGCTGTTACTTTAAGAAGATGGAATTTTTAACTGGACCAGGAAGCTGCTGTAAGCTAACTCTTGGTGTTGTTAGTCACGAAGTCATGTCCAGCCCATCACGACTCCATGGACAACACTCCTCCAGGCCTTCCTGTCCTCCACCATCCCCCGGAGTCCACTCAAGTTCTCACCAACTGCTTCAGTGACTCCATCTAGCCACCTCATCCTCTGCAGTCCCCTTCTTCTTTTGCCATCTATTGTTCCCAGCATTAGGCTCTTCTCCAGGGAGTCCTTCATTCTCATTCGGTGGCCAAAGTATTTCAGTTTCATCTTCAGGATCTGGCCTTCTAAAGAGCAGTCAGGATTGATCTCCTCTAGGACTGACCAGTTTGATTGCCTTGCGGTCCAAGGGACTCGCAGGAGTCTCCTCCAATACCACAATTCAAAGGCGCTCAGCCTTCCTTATGGTCCATCTTTCACAGCCATACATTGCAACTGGGAAAACCATAGCCTTGACTATACGCACTTTTGTTGGCAGGGTGATGCCTCTGCTTTTTAGTATGCTGTCTAGATTTGCCATAGCTTTCCTCCCCAGGAGCAAGTGTCTTTTAATTTCTTGGCTGCAGTCCCCATCCGCAGTGATTGTGGAGCCCAGGAAAATAAAATCTGTCACTACCTCTATTTCTTCCCCATCTATTTGGCAGGAAGTGAGAGGACCAGATGCCATGATCTTAATTTTCTTAATGTTGAGTTTCAAGCCAACTTTTGCACTCTTCTCCTTCACCCGCATCAAGAGGCTCTTTAGTTCCTCTTCACTTTCTGCCATTAGAGTGGTATTATCTGCATATCTGAGGTTGTTTTTATTTCTCCCAGCAATCTTCATTCCAACTGGTGATTCATCTAGCCCCACCTTTCTCATGATGTGCTCTGCATATAAGTTAAATAGGCAGGGCAACAGTATACAGCCTTGCCAAACTCCTTTCTCAATTTTGAACCAATCAGTGGTTCCGTGTCCAGTTCTCACTGTTGCTTCTTGACATGCATATAGGTTTCTCAAGAGACAATAAGATGGTCTCCCATCTCTCCCATCTCTTTAAGAACTTGCCACAATATGTTGTGATCCACACAATCAAAAGCTTTAGCATAGTCAATGAAGCAGAAGTAGATGTTTTTCTGGAACTCTCTAGCTTTCTCCATGATCCAGCTTATGTTGGCAATTTGATCTCTAGTTCCTCTCCCTCTTTGAAATCCTGCCTGTACATCTGGTAGTTCTCGGTCACATACTGCTGGAGCCTAGCTTGTAGGCCTTTGAGCATAACTTTGCTAGCATGTGAAATGAGTGCAATGGTACAGTAGTTTGAACATTCTTTGGCATTGCCCTTCTTTGGGATCAGAATGTAAACTGACCTTTTCCAATCCTGTGGCCACTGTTGAGTTTTCCAAATTTTCTGGCATATTGAGTGTAGCACTTTTACTGCATCATCTTTTAAGATTTTGAACAGCTCAACTGGAATACTTTCATCTCCACTAGCTTTGTTGTTGCTCAGACTTCCTAAGGCCCATTTGACTTCACATTCCAGGATGTCTGGCTCAAGGTCAGTGACCATCCCAACGTGGTTATCAGGGATGTTAAGCTCTTTCTTGTATAGTTCTTCTGTGTAATCTTGCCACCTCTTCTTAATCTCTTCTGCCTCTGTTAGGTCCCTGCCATTTTGGTCCTTTATCATGCCCATCTTTGCTTGAAACGTTCCCTTCATATCTCCAATTTTCTTGAAGAGATCGCTGATCCTCCCTATTCTATTGTTTCCTTCTATTTCTTTGCACTGTTCATTTAAGAAGGCATTCTTATCTCTTCTAGCTATTCTCTGGAATTCTGCATTCAATTGTTTGCATCTTTCTCTTTCTTCCTTGTCTTTCGCTTCCCTTCTTTCCTCAGCTATTTGTAAAGCTTCCTCAAACAGCCATTTTGCTTTCTTGCATTTCTTTTTCTTTGGGATGGTTTTAGTTGCTACCTCTTGTACAATGTTGCAAACCTCCGTCCATAGTTCTTCAGGCACTCTGTCTATCAGATCTGATTCCTTAAATCTATTTGTCACCTCTACTGTATATTCATCAGGAATATGATTTAGGTCATACCTGGGTGGCCTAGTGCTTTTCCCTACTTTCTTCAATTTAAGCCTAAACTTTGCAACATGAATCTCATGATCTGAGCCACAGTCAGCTCTTGGTCTTGTTTTTACTGACTGTATAGAGCTTCTCCATCTTTGGCTGCAGAGCACATAATCAATCTGATTTCTGTGTTGACTGTCTGGTGATGTCCATGTGTAGAGTTGTCTCTTGGGTTGTTGGAAAAAAGTGTTTGTTATGACCATCGTATTCTCTTGACAAAATTCTACCAGCCTGTGTGCCCTGCTTCATTTTATACTCCAAGGCCAAACCTGCCTGTTATTCCGGTTATCTTTTGGCTTCCTACTTTAGCATTCCAATCCCCCATGTTGGTAAGGACATCATTTTTTGGTGTTAGTTCTAGAAGGTGTTGTAGGCCTTCATAGAACCGGTCAATTTCAGCCTCTTCAGCACCAGTGGTTGGGGCATAGACTTGGACTACTGTGATGTTGAATGGTTTGCCTTGGATTCGAACTGAGATCATTCTGTCATTTTGGAGATTGTATCCCAGTACTGCTTTTCCTACTCTTTTATTGACTATGAAGGCTACTCCATTCTTTCTGAGGGATTCTTGCCTGCAGTAGTATACCTGATGGTCATCTGAATTAAATCCACCCATTCCTGTCCATTTTAGTTCACTGATTCCTAAGATGTCGATGTTCAGTCTTGTCATCTCTTGTTTGACCACATCCAGCTTGCCTTGATTCTTACATTCCAGGTTCCTATGGAGTATAGATCTTTGCAGTATCGGACTCCTTTCACCACCAGATACATCAGCAACTGAGTGTCCTTTCGGTTTTGACCCAGTCGCTTCACTCTTTCTGGTGCTACTAGTACTAGCCCTCCGCTCTTCCCCAGTAGCATATTGGACACCTTCTGACCTGAGGGGCTCATCTTCCGGCGTCATATCTTTTTGCCTTTTGGTACTGTCCATGGGGTTTTCATGGCAAAGATACTGGAGTGGGTTGCCATTTCCTTCTCCAGTGGAGCGTGTTTTGTCAGAGCTCTCTGCTATGAGCTGTCCGTCTTGGGTGACCCTGCATGGCATAGCTCATAGCTTCATTGAGCTACGCAAGCCTCTTCGCCATGACAGGGCAATGATCCATGAAGGAGAGGCTAACTTTATGAGTAAGGAAATACCTGTATTCTCATCAGCTGCAGAAAAGCTGAAACAATGGTGTCCACTTGTTTCTGAATGGACCCTCTTAAGCATCTGGTTCCACAGAAACAAGTGTAGTTGCCCAACCAGATTTCCTGAATGGTTCCTCAGTCAGACACCTTTGCATGTTTAAGCAAGATCCAAATTGCAAAGGGGTCTACTCAATTGACAGGTCAATAAAGCAATCAGTGATGTTTTCCATACTATTGTTATCAGTATTTCTGATTGGTTTAGAACATTATGTCATGCCTGAAGGCTATTGAATGCTATTGCACTAACATCATCTGGAAACTTAACACTCTGTATTGGTGTATATGACTAGCAGGTTATAAAAGTGTCTGTACATGGGCTGTGATTTTGTAGTTAGTGGTGAGAAGCACTACTCAGTAGCATGCTGTGGTAGGTAACTGCAGGGGTCCCGGGTGATCTTTCAATAAAACTGCTAAGGTTCAAGGCGAGAGGGGTCTTTCCTGACTGAACCTGTGGCTGCCATCGAAGCTTCCTGACAAAAGCTATTGAAATCAATGGAACTTGAGTTAGTCACTAACTTAACTCCCATGTATTTTAATGGTTCTGCTTCAAGTAGGACTAAGTCTGGATCCAAGCCTATGCATTTTACTTCCTCCAACTGGGGCTACCAGCTTTCTCTCCCTACAGCTCCCAGCACACTTCCATGGGAGTAAGGTGCACTGACGTCAATGGGATTTACTTCTGAGTAAACATCCTTAAGATCGCTTTGTTCGGACACGATATCATACCCACGTAGTTGGGAGAAGCCCCACATATTTAAGGTGGCAGAGGCAGCTGATGGGCGACTCAGCTCCGGCTTGACCTGCACCACTTTGCCCTCCGTGCTCCCAATGAAAAAAACGCCGCCCCATTTCGCACCTCCATTATCTGGGGCAGCATCCCCACAGCTTCCCTTCCCTGTCTTGATTCACCCTATCCCACCAGCCCAACAGCTTGATCCTCTCACAGACGAGCTGAATTAGGTTTCGCTTTCCATTTCCTGGAAACAAATCAAAGTAACATTTCTGCGGAGCCTTAAAAGCCGAGCGCAAACCAAAAGTCAGCTCAGTCCCGCGGCTTCCATCCGATGAGAAGTTTCGGGAGAGCCTTTCGAGGCATCGACTGCCAAGAAAGCTGCGCTCGGAAGACCTTCGGGCTTCACTCTAAGAACGTGAGTAACAGATTCACCGGCGCGGAGCACCTCTTGGCAGGAGAGAGACTCGGGTGCTCCGGCTACCTTATCTCGGAGGAGATTAATGGCTTTTAGACTAGTTGCTCTCCTCCAGATGTTCATAGATTCATAGAATAGTAGAGTTGGAAGGGGTCATGAAGGCCATCGGGTCCACCCCCACCCCCCGGGCTGTTACAGGACACCACCTTACACCCTCCCACTCAGATGGCTGTCCAGTTTCTTCTTGACTGTCTCTAGTGTGGGAGAGCCCACCACCTCTCTGGGCAGCTGGTCCCACTGCCATATTGCTCTGGCAGTGAGGAAGCTTTTCCTGATGTCCAGCCTGAATCTGGGTTGTCACAACTTGAATTGATTATTCCATGTCCTGCACTCTGGCATCAGCAAGAGTGTTCTTTGACCTCAATTCCCATCTGTATCAAAACGCATGGCTAAAATTCTGGAATGATGGGCATTGCCATCTCAACAGCACCTGGAGGGCTACGGATTTCCCCATCCCTGATCTGGTGGAGGGCAAGCATGTAAAGCAGCAATCCCCTCATTTTCTAGGGCATAAATTGCTCTGAATTTGCTGCAAGGCCTTGACCTGGAATAAGCACAGTTAGGCTTGTGGCATTGATGTAGCCTACGTACCATTTTGGCACACTCTGGAGCGGTCCAGAGTCCAGGATCTAGTCCACCCCCTGGTTACTCATTTTTCTCTGCCACATCATGTTAAGTCCTCAGCAAGTAAGCCTCACAGGCTGAGAGCAGAGCTTGCTGTTTCCACCTCTGGTCCATGTGGCTGCTGCCTCCTCGGGCTACAGATGTAGACCAGAACTGATGTCAGGATGTAGTAGAGTCCTGGATATATTTATGCCAAGTCATGCTGTATGAAATACAGTTTAGGCTCTACCCCTGCTTGGTGCTTTGATATAGTTTGCCTTTTGTAGATATCTTGAACATCCAGTTTTGGGGAAGAGGAGGATTAGATGGACAGTTTTTCTGCCTGCTTCATGCAGCTGATGGAGCACGCTTGTTGGTTTGTTATAGAAGGCTGAATGTGTCAGTAAGAGCTGAGTCACAGCAAGGTTTACATGTGTGTCTGGGGAAGGGAAGGGAAGAGCACTTTAGCAAGTGCATCTCAGACTGAGGCAGAGTATTAGTGTTTCCTTCAAGTGTGGATTTGGCAGGTAGCTCAGTGTTCCTGGTGTGTGTGCACAGTTTTACTCCTGGTAAGCAGGCTTGGCACAGCTTTCTGCAGCTTTAAGAAATCACAAAACCTCTTTTTCCAGAGGCATTGGTAGAGATAAATGTGCACGGAACTGATACTTCCTCTAAACCACTTTTGCATGATTTTGAGAACCACCCAGGTAGAAATATAAATAGTATGTAAATAAAGTGTTAGTCTTGAGTCAGGAGCACTGAAACTGAGTGCCAAATTCTATTTTGGAGTGGATTTTGCTGGCCATATCCAAGTGCTGTGTGGGCCCAAGGGCAAGGGGTGATGCCCACATATCAAAACGATAGCATGTGTTAATTTAAATTTGTTAGTTCTTAAGTTTAGTTACTAGACACTATTTCAGCCTTTTAGAATGGGAGGAACCATGCAAAAACTGGAAAACTACAAAAACCAGACTGCTGAGGGAAGGAGGGTGGGGCTTGGCTTAAGAAGCTGTGGTCATGTGGAAACCTTGAAAGACTCAACTGGCATCTCAGGCTGGAGGTTCGGTGCCTCTGCTTTAAGGTACCACATGGCTCCCCTCCCTTGCTGTTTACATTTAATTAAATTCTCATTAGATACACTGAAGTAAGTTTTAATTTTAACTGAAATTAAAATATGTTTGCCTCTAGGGTAAGGTATTATAGTAGTTTCAGCAAGGGCCAAGTTGCAATACTGGCGAGATTACATTGTAATTTTTCTTTTTATTTCCTCTCTCTCTCTCTCTCTCTCTCTCTCTCTCTCTCTCTCTCTCTCTCTTTGCACTTTTACAGGTTTCCAAATGCCTCCGGGGCAGAAGAGGTGAGAGAAATGTGTCTGTGTATTTGTGCATGAGAAGGAAAGGGGGAAGGAGGTGCTAGATGGGCTTCTTCAAGAGTGGTAGAACCATTTGGGGTTTAATGACTTGTTGTTTCATTGCTTATAGTCAGGAAGATTCTTCTGCTGAAGAATGTATGAGGTGCTAGCCCTTCTTTTATCCTTATATCCAACGTCAGAGGAAGAGAGAGGGAGCCTGACTGGACCACCCTCGGAACAAGGCTGACGGCTCCAGGGTGCAGTGAGCTGCAAACCAGGGACCCTAATCAAGCCAGTGGTCAGGATATAACAGCAGAGTAGGAACTCCCTGAATGTCAGGACCACAGGCCAACCCTGAGGGTAGAATAACCTGCCAGAGCTCAGGAAGACTGAGTTGTTCAAGGTTTAATTGGTGCAGGAAGCCTTTTTGCAGAATTTCCTGCAAAGGGAAGCTCCACTAGCCAGCTTGAGATCGTTATGGCATGCAGATGCTGAAATGTGCAATTCTTCAGTTTTCCAGCTGGGGCAACTGAACAGAAATCCAAAAGCCCTTGAGATTAGCTGGACAAAGAATTAATTTTAGATCTAGTATCTCTCTGTTTCTGAGATATTTTAACTGCTGTACCTCCTGCCTATCTCTTTCAGGAATGGCTTCCGGCAGAGGGCACCTCCTGTCCTCAAATACTTGCAGGGTATCCTTCGCAAATACCCAGATGGGGGTCAGATCTTAAAGGTGAGGGCTAAGTGATGGGCACTGAGCTTTTGCCTTTGGGGTTTTGAGAAAGAAGTGGTGGACCCAAGTTCTTTGGACTGGAGGTTGCAACCTGATACTCAAAAAGTCTTAACAGGTTGATTATGTGCAGTTTTGTTGATTGGTCAATTGATTAAATGCACATAATTTTGCATTTAAAATCTATGAATCTTAAAAATAGATTAATTTTTTTGAAGCAAGAAGTTACTTTGTTTCTAGATCATCATCTTGAAGTCATCATCTTGAAGAGGGTTTCCTTCAAATTTGAAAGAAAATACCAGTATGAAAATGATTGCTGATAATTATTATAGAATAAGCCTGAAAAATTAGAGCCACCTTTAGTTGCTTAAAAGTTTAACAACTCAAGCCTAGTTGTATCTATTCAGAAGCTAGTCCCACTGAGGTCAAGGGGGTTTATTCCCTAGTAAATGTTTTGGTTTGTAGCCCAGCTATAGGTCTGATCAGTCCTGCAACCAGATGAGATTTACTTCTGAGTAGCCACAAATACAATTGCTTTTGACACAGCAACCCTAATTCAAAGGTGATTCGGAGTCTTTTCAGAGGTACATACCATCAGTGGGCAGCCAACCTATGGATTTTATGGAAGGGAAGGAGGGCTGCATGTGAGATGCTGGGATCCTTGAGTCTGTTTGTTTAAAGTTAATTTATTTGTATTTAAAAAGCTTCCAGTCTGGTGCGTGTATAATTAGTAAAGCAAGACAGGCTGGCCAGGCTTGCAATCTACAATGAGACGAGGCGAAAGGAGGGGAAAGTGGGCAGAAACAAGACTTTCAGCAGGGTCGGTGGATGGCCCCACTTCTCTCTCTCATCACCCTGCTGGAGTTACCTTTATGTATAAAGGGAGGCACAGGGAGGGCCATCCTAAGTAAATGCAAAGCAGTCCAAACTAAAATGCAAACAGGTCTGATAGGTTTGCACTCACTTACATACAATTTAAATGGTTTAAAATTGATGTGCCACAGAATATGGCTCTTAGGCAGTGGCACCCAATTCTGGAATCTGCTCCCCACAGAGGTTTGCCTGGTGCCCCCTTTCCATTCATTTCAGCACCAGGCAAAACCCTTTTAATTTCCTCAATATTTTAAAGGATAACATAACTGTTAAAAAGCACCTTTTGTTGGTATTTATTCCCTACTACTATACCCCTGGGTTAACTTATGATGTGGCTTTTGAGGTGGGGCTCGTTATATTTTATTGGTTATTTTATTTGCAAGTTTGGTTTAATGTTACGGTTTTTAATCTATATGTTGTTTTTTATGAATCTGTAAACTACCCAGAGAGTCATTTTGACTAATGGGCAGAGCAGAATTGAAATAAATATGTTGATCAACACAGTCTCTTTATGCTCTTTGGCCAGAAGTCTTGAACCAAGATGTGGGTTTAACATCTTCAGGAGTGCTGGGGAAGAATGTCACATGGGCTTTGTCCACTGGAGGGGTACACTTCTAGTGTGGCGGGGTTTGGCATCCTAACCGAGCATTTAGGATCTGTGGGGTCTGAGTGAGTTAGATCCCTGGGTGGAAGTGAGGCTCCCTCATGTTTTCTGGCCCAGGTCAAAATGGTTAAAGTTTGGAAGGAGGCATTTCCAGATCCTCTGGAGAAGAATAGTGAATACAGATGCCTAGCAGTTCACCACAGGTGAGAAGAGGTTCTGCTGTTCTGGAGCAATTTCCATTAATTGGAGTAGTAGTGTTAGCTGGGTTTGACTCATGCTCTTACCTCAATTCCAATTCCCTGTTTCTTCCCAAAGGAGCTGATCCAGAATGCAGATGATGCGGGTGCTGAAGAGGTGATCTTACTTTATGATGACCGAAAGTTTGGAAAACAGAACCTCTTCTCTGAAGGGCTGGCAAGTGCCCAAGGTATTGATTGGACAACTTGTGAGGGTGCTGAGCCCAATAAAGAAATCATAATACGACAGACTGAAGGGTGCAGAATGATAATGGGGATTCCAGGTTGTACCACTTGGGATAGGATGTCTTGCAGTGCTCAGGATGAGCCTCAGCCACCTGTGCAGCCCTAGCAAGCCTGGTGCTGGAATGCAGAAATGTCCTGCACACATTTCTAAACACTGCTCTTTTCGATTCCTGGTATGTCTTTTTATCCTTTCATGTAGATAAGTGTCTGTCTGTCCTGTTTAGACCATAGAAGGATGCATTTGGCAAACACTGTATATTAGCCTTCCTCCCAATTGCTTGGACTTCAAGTTCCATTAGTCCAAGCCAGCAAAACCAATGGACTGGAACCCTGGAAGTGTTAGCTCAAAATGTCTGGAGGGCACCAGGCTGGGGAAGTTTGGCATATATCAAATCTAATAGATAAAAATGAGTAAAATATTTCGTGCTAGCTTCTTGTCTCTCAAACCCACTCTGGGTGCTACACCAGAGGAGTGGATTTTGGGAGGGGAAAACATGGCCTAGCAAGGTTGCAGGGCATTGGCAGCTTGGAGCCAGAGGCCTTGGGTTTCCTGGGGTACCTTGAATTAGAGATGAGTGTTGCTCTGGGCCAAAGGCCAAGGCAACCAAATGCAGCATTTCTGATCCTGTATGTGCATAGGCCTCTGCTGCTGCATGCATCTGCACAGAGATGGACATGGGCTTTTGCAATGAGCACAACCAGATTTCCAGATAGAAGGCACCTCCCCTTCACTGGGATGCTTCTTGCCTTCTGTGCCCAATGTCCATTTGAGGAGCCGAGCGATACAGTGTCCCCATATGTTTTTGGTAAGCCACTTATCTACAGCAAGGTCTCCTGCGGATGGTAAATGGATGTGAACGTACAGGGAACTGTGCCCCCAGAAAAAGTGCGTGCACCAATTGATATCGGGGATGACTGCTAGAAATGGAGCCGCCATGTTGAGTGAAACAAATGATGGCTATCAGTCTCGGGCAAAGACTGCAGAACTAGGTAGATGTCTGTCTGATCCAGCAAGGCAATTCTTCTGTTAAAAATAGTGGCTTAATTCAGATATCATTCCCTATAGCAGTGGTGGCAAACCCATGGCATGCGTGCCACAGCGGGCACACAGAGCCCTCTCTCTTGGCATGTGAGCCAAGTCGCCCCAGCATCCTCCCAACAGCTGAGCATCAGATAACAGCGCACACAGGGGCCATGCGCATGCTTGGAAAGGAATAGTGGTGCCAGGTGATGATGTCATAAGCTGCAACACATTAGCCGCGACTCGTCTGAGCTTTCGCATGGCTGGTCAGTGTGCTGCCAAGGAGAGGGAGAGGGAGGGAGGGAGAGAGAGAGAGAGAGAGAGAGTTGCTTGGACTGGCTGTTTTCAGGTTTTATTACAGTGTTGGCACTTTGTGGTAAATAAGTGGGTTTTGGGTTGCAGTTTGGGCACTCAGTCTCTAAAAGGTTCACCATCACTGAGTTAGGGTTAGAAAAATGAGGTGTCCTGGTATGATTTTGATGGTTGGAATGTGTTTAGAATCGACAGAATTGATGAGCTGTGCAGAAAAAGCTGCTCAAGGAAGGCTTTTTCAAAACCACCCTATTTTCAATGGTATTTTACCCCTATATTAGGGTTAGGGGAGTGCAGCAGGGTAGGGTTAGGGCAGTGGTGGTGAACCCATGGCATGCGTGCCTCAGCGGGCACGCAGAGCCCTCTCTGTCAGCGTGTGAGCCAAGTTGCCCCAGCAGCCGAGCATTGGATAACCGCGCACACAGGGGCCATGCGCATGCTCGGAAAGGAGTAGCGGGGCCAGGCGATGATGTCATGTGCCACAACTCATTCGTCGTGACTTGTCTGAACTTTTGCATTGTCAGTTAGTGCGCTGCCATACAGCAGCCAACGTAACCATGGTTGGTTGTTTCAGATAACATGCCAGAACACAGTTACCACAACAAGTGGTATGTAAAGCTACTTCTCACCATGAGGGCTGATTTAGTTTTCTGGCTGATCCACAAATCATAATTTGTCAGTTCAAACACTGGTGCAAAACCATACCTGAAGCTCCTTAGTCATGGTTTGGTGTGGTATCTAAATTCAGCTATAATCAAGGCCTGAGGTCTATAAATTATGACTAGACTTTGTAGCCATCTATGAAGTCCATTCCCACCTTGATAGTGCATTATATGTACCATGTAAACGGAGCACGGTGCCAGATGAAGTTATGCATCTCAGACTTTAAGAAGGCTAGCCTTAAAACAACAACAAAACTTTAACTGAAGAGCCTGCATTTTTTGAGAAGACAGCTGATCACTCAGGAATAAAGTAACGTCGTTGCCATGGTGTGCCTTCACGTCATCCCTGATTTACGGTGATTCTGTGACTGGGAGGGCTCCAACATGCCGTGTCCTTGACAACCTTGCTCAGTCCTTGTGAACTCAAACTGGCAGCCTCCTTCATAGAATCACACCATCTCATATTTAGTTTTTCACTTTCCTTACCATGATCATCTTCCCTTGCTTTCTCATGATGTGCCCAAAGTACAACAGCTTCAGTTTCATCAGTTTTGCTTCCAGGGAAACTGGAAGCTTCTGGCTTGATTTGTACTAGGATCCACTTGTTTGCCTGTCTGTCAGTCCAGGGGATTCACAAAGCTCTCCTCCAGCACCGTGTTTCAAATGCATCAATTCTCTTCCTTCACTGTCCTGGTGTCCACATAGTGAAGTAACATAAATACATATCAAAATATTTAAAGGTCTTTTAACTTGCAGTATTAACAAAATAAGAAGCTAAGTACAAATTCCTTAGCCCCTAAGCCACTTTGAATTACAGATAGTTATACTACTGCAGGTGACCTGAGTTCTGCTGGCCCTCCATGGCTGAGGGATTTTTCTCTTTTCTGCCCTGCTTAACGCACATCCCCATTGTTCCTTAAAGAGCAGCAGGATATTTTAAAAATCAAGTTATGTATTTGTGGTGGTGAGCTGCCTAGAACTTTTTGAAGAAGAGCTAGCTTATATATTTTTTCCTTTAAATTATCATTTTCTTCTCTCTTAGGGCCTGCACTTCTTGCCTACAATACTTCCCAGTTTTCTGAGGATGACTGGGAAGGGATTCAAAGTCCAGGTGTCAGTCACAAGGAGGACGATCCACTCACTGTGGGACGATTTGGCTTGGGCTTCAGTTCAGTCTATCACATCACAGGTGAGAAGCTCTGAATGTCATCTCGGGGGCAGTGGCAACTCTTCAAAACCAGGGCATGCATCCTTGGGAGGAAGGAGTATGATTATAGAACAGTTTCTCTGGAGGGGTAGATTTTCATTTTAAAAATGAATAAATCCAGGTTAATAACCACCAAACCCCCACAAAATCCTTGTGTATTCTAGGAATCTGCAGTTCTGTGTTCGTATAAATCAAACCAAATGCAGTGAAGAGAATTGCCAGTTTTGCAGGATTGCCGAGTGTGGTGATGGTTTTGTTAAAACTGAGGCAATAGCCACATTTGTGCACCAAGCCACCCTATGCGGCATGGGTTGTTCACAGAATAACCCACAGTGAAATTAGGGACTGTTTAATTCAATTAATTGCTGGTGGTGCACTACTGCTAACGCTTCTTTTAATTACATGCTTTAGTAATTTCCTGTTGTTTTTTTCTCTTGTGGGCAGGAGGTTATTATTACAGACACATTTTATACTGGAACAACCTTTACTATTTACTGATGTACACTTGATGTAAAAATTATTTACCCACTTTAAGGAAGCTAACAATGGAAGGGGAATTCTCTGTACTCTTTTGGCAGCCAAAAGACTGATCTTTCAAAACTAGAAGAAAAAACACTTCTTATAATGCAATGGCCTGGCAGCACTCTTAATGTATGAATGAGTAGCACATAGACAACAACTGGAAATGGAAACTTCTTTGGACACTTGGTCTGCTTTTATTGAAACCTGTGTATAATTGTTTGAAAGTTTTATATATGGAATACGAACCAATGTATGCCTGTTAAAAAAGGAAAGCCACTAGCACCGTTGTCCCTGCACATACCGTGCTGTGGCCCCGTGCCCTCGAACAAGCCATAGATTTTCAGCATGGCCTGCTGAGAATCAGCTCAGTGCATTTCATTGCCACAGGCGTGTTCCTTTTCCACAATGAGGCCATATCGTTTTCTGTGTTTGTGGCTTGGGGAGACTGCAGAGGAAAGAGACCGGAGTAAAAACACCAGGGCGGGACAATAACCAAGATAAGGAGTGCCCACATCGCAGTGACTAAATTTCTCCCCTTTTTGCCCTCTAGATTTCCCATCTATACTCTCTGGTCAGTGCCTGGGAGTGCTGGACCCACAGGAAGCAGCCTTAAGTGAGGGGGGTCAGCTCTGTAGTGTGGATGAATGGGAAGAGGCTTCGGATCAATTCGAACCATTCTGGGCGGTACTGAAATCGCTGGGCAAGCCTTGCCCAGCTACTGAGGGCCACTTCCCTGGCACCTTGTTCCGCTTCCCACTGCGACAGAGCCCCTCAAAGATCTCAGAAAACGTCTACAGTCCGAAACGTGTGAAGGAGCTGCTGTTCACATTCCTAAATGATGCCCCCATTAGCTTGCTGTTTCTCAGGAACATTCGGAAAGTGACACTGGGCCTGATTGAATCCAATGGCACGATTCGTGAGCTGCTGAGAGCTGAAGCCACTATCTATCCAATTGTGAACTCGGAAGTCAGCTCAGGACTCCCTCCTGACATCGTTCTCCATGTATCAGACTTTCCTGATGATGTCACTGCTACCAAATTGGACATGGTTGCTCACATCAAAACCCTTGCTTTATGTGGCACTGGAATTGGACAGGCCACCAACTGCCACTGGCTGGTCTTATCAGCTGAAGCCAAAAAGGATGCCTTCCCGGAGCTGTGGGATCTCTCCACGAAGGTGTGCTCTAGACCAGCTCAGTGCTTGGCGTACTGCTTGCAAGACAAGTGTCCTGGGCGCCTCAGCTGTGTCTTGCCACTCCCAGCCACAGAGGAGAACATGACGGGATTGCCACTGCACATCAGTGCCCCTTTCCAGCTGACAGATGACCGGAGACACGTGCAGTGGTCTGAAGAAGGGTCCCACGCACGGGGAGCTGATGGCCGGTGGAACTACCTGCTTTTGGAAGAGATGCTGCCCCTTGTTTATTGCCAGATGGTGCTGCTGGCTGCTGGCTATCCCAGTGACCCCTACGGGGCATGGCCAGACCCAGATGAAAGCCAGCAGCTCCGGTACAAGCCATTAGTAGCTCAGATCTGCCAGAGACTGCTTGACATGCAACTCTTGGTGCAGGCAGGAGGTGGGAATCCTCACCTGCTCTATCCCCGTGAAGCTGTCCTCTTGCCAGAAAAAGTGACCCATGAGCCGGCGGCTGTGGTGCTGGAGAAGGCTCTCGTGTCAGCAGGGTCACTGGTCGCAGCTGCCCCTCCCCATGTGCGCAGGGCCTTGTCCTTGGGCACCAACGATGGGCCAGCGGTACGGGAGGCTACAGCACAGTTCGTGAGAAAGACCTTGCGCCACAGTGAGGGCACCTGGTGTAGACTCTCCGTGTCGGAGAAACACTTGTTGTTGGAATACTTGACTGGAGATGAGCACTACCAGGAGCTGGAAGGTCTGCCGCTTCTGCCAACAGCCAGCGGGCACTTTACCTGCTTCGGAGGTTCTGGAGAGACCGTATTTGTTGAGAACCATCACTTTCCCCGGTGAGCACTCTCCCACCACACAAACCCCAATATAATCCAATAGTGTCCCATTTTTCATCCGAGCTCCATGTGATATCCCTCCCTATTAGATATTCCAAAGATAGAACTCACATAAGGTAAGTACTCTACCTGCATAGGTAGAATGGTTCAGAATATTTTAACCAGCCTCCGCCAATATTATGGTGCTCAGATATTTTGGATTACAACACCTAGCAGCCTTGATCATTGGCTCTGCTGGCTGAAGTGATGGAAATGACAGTCCATCACATCTGGAGCACATCAGGCAGAGGAGGGTTGATTCGTGCTCTGGATCATTTCAGAAGTGGATATCATGCCAAATCATGAAAATAAAATGAAATAAAAAGATTTTCATCCTTACAAGTTCTAAAACATAGTGATGATAAACCAAAGGTCCCCAACCCTTTATTCATGTATATTGAATATTAGTCATGTATATTGAACACCTTGGTGCCTCTGTCATAGGGCAGGCTCATTTGACTAATTGCTGATGTGCAATACAGCTAATACTCCTTTTAAACATAAGTCTTGACAATGTCCAGTAGTTGCTTCTTTTGGGAGGAGGTTTTCACAAAGGTACATTTTGTATTGGAACAGCATTTAACATTCAGTGATGTACACTGACTATGAAAGCTCTCATGTTAATATTGCTTATGTACAAACCTCTGAAAAGTCTCTTGGTCAGCAAAAGTAATTGAATTAAAATATTTGATTCTGGTGGTAAATTAAATAAAGTGCACTCAGCATTTCACAATGTTACATTTTTTAAAAAATCAACATTTTACTTAGGTATCATGTTTACTGGAACACTTAGAAATAATTTAATATATGACCATTTACTTGCTTTATTTTTCTTTACATTAGTTAGATTTGAAGAGCAAATGGAGACACTGATACTATGTTAACTGAAGCCTACCTGAATAACTATGTGCATAAACATATGAGCTTTCTAGGGAAGATTACTTGGAAGAGTCATTTGCAACTTTAATTATGACTGCTTAGATTTCACTAGTATCAGTGCTTTTTTTGTCATAGAATGCACCAGAACAGAGTTCTGGCACCTTTTTTCGACAGATTTTCCAAGTTTTAAAAGTAACTTTTGAAAATTTGATGTTTGGTCCATGTGGATTTGAATCGCCCTGTCGAGCATAGCAGGTCGGCAGCAAAATCATTAAAATGATGCATGCGGGCTGCTTGTGTGTCGAATCCGATGCATGCGGACTTCGTCCGCGCTGATTGTGATGGTGCTGCTCAGCTTGTGGCGCTGCTCAGCTTGTGATTAGTTGTGTGGTCGTGCACTGAGTGCTTACTGCGGGTGGTGACTGTTATATTTCATTACACAACTGACGTGTGTGGGTGTGTGTACAGTGATTGACTATGTGCAAAAGGTAAATAATTTCATGAGTTCCAGCACCTTTTTTCTTACAAAAAAAACACTGACTAGTATCATATTCTTTCTGGCTGTTCCACTTGACCTGCTGTGTTCAGTAATGTTACCAATTAATTTTATATAATAATGCATCTCTAAAACGGAAAAAATTGTGGTTATAGCTCACTGGTGCTAACCACAGTAAAGGAACCACTTGATTCATGTTATGTGCGAAAAGGTACTTGCGTCATTTAGGGGCAGCGGGGGTTGTACCCCACTGTCAATATAAACATTTGGCACGGCTGTCTGCAGGGAAAGCCAATGTTTATAGAACTTTTATTTGTGTAGGATTTCCATGCAGATTGAATCACTGCACAACTGGGACTGCAATTGTGTGGAAAAAGTGTAAGCTTTCCCCTACAGGCATTCATGCCTAAGATGAGGATAGTGAGGCTAAGCGGCCTTGGCTGCATTGCCCTTTAATTGCATGAGCTCCCCTTCCTACGTGTAATGAATGAATGAAGGAGATACAGTTTACAAATCAGCTTCAAACCATGGTTTGACATGGTTGCTTGCTGACCCCTTGCAAACCATGGTTGTAAAAACAAACCATGGTTTGGTGTGACATCTGTATGCCCTGTATGAATGTTAAATCCCAAAATATTCCCTAAGAGCGAAGTTTGATGCCCCATCTCTTCATTGTGAGAAGCTTGTGCCAGCCTGTACACAGAGCTGCATTCTTTTGCCAGACTGGATACTGGAAATTTAAGTTCTCTTTGAACTGGTGTCCTTAAAATGTGCTGGTTGAGAAATGCTATGGCAGCTTTCTCCAACCTTGGGGCTTAGAGGGATGTACAATTCCCATCATCTCAGTCAGTGTGGTCAGTGGAAATCCACAGACAGTGTTAATAATAGACATTCACCTGGTCACCTACAGGAAATGGAAATCACCTTCAGCTGGAGACAGATGTTTGAAAGAAGCTTCTTGCTATTGCTGCATGTGGTTTAATTTAGCTTTCCCCAACCTGGTGCTCTCCAGTTGTTGTGGCTTGCAGCTCCTAGTCCTCCTGAACATTGGCCATGCTTGCTGGGGTTCACAGGAGTTTCCTAACTTCTGAAGAGAAGCATGTTAAGGAAGTCTGCTTCAGTTTATCTGCTTCATTTGTCCTTTTCAACAAACTGCAGAAGGCAGTTCTTAATATGAAAAGGAAAAACGATAGCAACATAAATGAATTTTGTTTGGTCCTCTGTCCTGTGGTGTATAAAAGGTCCTTGTTTGGCTTGCACTTCCTAGCTCATGTGTTATTTCTTTCCGCTGGTTTTGCAGGATCCTTTTGCCTGGTTTGGCTCAACAATTTCTGCCCAAGGATCTAAACCCAAAGCTGCTGAAACATCTGCAAGCGATCGCAGAAAAAAGTGAGCTGTGTTCATTTCCATCTTTGCGATATGTAGAGGGTGTTGGACCAAGATTGGCAAAGGACTGGTGCTAGTCTGGGTAGAATGGGCAAGAAGGAAGTTTTAGCGGGAAGGCCTAGAGGGCAGAGAGACAGTGGTCCTGGTTACATTGTCCTTGCTTCAGGTGGGATCCTGCTGCATAGAATCCCTGCACGTGCTAAGTCCGGAATCAGCTGCATCTCATCCTCTGGGCATGTGACACGGGGTTACAGTATTACACACAAGTTTCTTCCTTTTACGAATTTGTGTGACTCTTGTGGGTAGGTCACAACATGCAAGTAAACCTGTGCTCATCAGCTTATTTACATCTGGAACTATGGCATGACAAGATTTGGGTAGGTCTTGTTTCTACATACGCACCTCCAAGGAAAGTGCCCAACTCCAAGGGTGGAGGTGCTTACACGAGGTCTCCGGGATTCCTCTGTTCCATTCTTTGTTACATCTTCAGTGCATTTGCCCTTCAAGGATTCCAGGATGGCATATATAGATCTTCCTACATAAGCACACCCAACATCTCTGTGAGATAAGTTAGGCTAAGCTTCTCCCAACCTGGTGCCTGCAGACTTTTAGCTACAACTCCTACCATTCCTGACCTTTGGCAGTGCTAGCTGATGAGAGTTGAAATCAGAAGCATCTGGAGGGCCTCAGGCTGAGAGAGGCTAAGTTAGCCCCCGAGATACTGGCTGCTACATATGAAGCTAGTCCAGGTCAAAGTCAATACGTAAGCTTCATAACTAAGAGGAGATTTAAACCCTGGCTTTGATGGTGCTCTCAGAATCATCCTTCGCACAAAATGCCTTCTTATGCTGGCTAGGAACAATGGGAATTGCAGTCCAGTACATCTGGAGGGCACTTAGTTGGGAAAGGTTGCTCTAACCACTACACCACACTGGCTGTCACTGAACTGATGTTCTCTGAGCTGGACTTATTTGTGTTCAGCCGTGCTGCAGCATCATGTCTTCACAGATCTGTACACACAGACTTTACTACCAGGCAAAGAATTCTTATATAAGCAACTACTTTACTCCAACAGGAAACAAACATGCTCCAGTTTTGGTTGCTGATTTCTCTGTTTTTCTTGCATTTCCTCCAGTGATATTCGGGAACTTGGTCTCCTTGGATCGAAGCGTCATTGAGCAGAACCTTCGCAGATCTCTTCCCACAGACTGGGTCAGCAGCAGTTCCGGCCATGTAGCCTGGAGGCCACAGAAGTACCCACAGCAACCTCCACTTGAGTGGCTTGATGCTTTCTGGAATTTTCTGAAACACCACACGCATTCTCTGGCACCCTTCAATGGATGCCCATTAATACCACTGGCTCCTCTGCATGAGTCCCTCAGTGGCATCCAACTGGCACGGCTTGTGCCTCAGACTACCCTGCTGTTTCAGAGCCACGATGGACGTTCCTTGCCAGGTGACGTGGGCAGCATTCTGGAGACCCTGGGGTGCAGTGTGATCCAGGGCTGGAAACCAGGCTGGGTCCACCACGAACTCAGAAAGTACATACTAGAGCCCACTCCTTGTGGTGTCCTACAAGCTTTTGCCCATTTGGGGGTTGCCTCCGTGGCTGGCCACCTGGCGTCCCTGTCCACTAGTCAGATTGAGAGTCTGAGCACTTTCCTCTCAACAAGTCCATCACTTTCCCAAAAGGAACTTGACACCCTGAAGGAATTGCCACTGTTTGTCAAGATGCCTTCCCTCCTGCCACCCGCCAGGCCTGGCTTGGTGGCTGCCCAGTGCCACTTGGCTTTGGAGAAGAGCCTGGTGCCACCGGTGCCCACAGATCTGTTGACACCAGAGCCTGTGCTGTTATGTCGTAATGAAGCTGAACGCCGCCTACTTGTGCAAATCCGGGGAAGCCTCCTGGAGGCGCCAGACCTATGCCTGCTGTGTGTGAAAGCAATGAAGAAGGGGGCATATGTCAACCAGACGCAGAAGGCCAGGCAGCTCATGCTGTGGGTGCTACGCAATGGGAACTCTTTGTTCAGTCAGAACCTGGAATTAAAAACCGTATGCTGCAATCTTCCATTTTTGGACTGCGGATCAGGAACATTGCGCCTGCCCAGTGAGCTTTATGACCCAGACAATCCCACGTTGCGGGCCTTATTAAAACCTTGCTGTTTTCCTGTGGGGCCTTTTCAGGAACCACAAGCATTGCAGACTCTTCGTAAGCTGGGGCTGAAATCTGATCTGGGAGCTGTCTCTCCAGCAGATCTCTTAACTGCTGCAGAGGAAGTGAATGAACTACAGGAGACTACAACAGCCAGTGCCAAATCACAGGCACTCATCCAGGTCTGCAATGAGACCCCTCTGCTATCACGCTTCTCTTCCCAAGCACTGGAGCAGCTGCGGTGCCTATCCTGGGTGCCTGCCACCAACTCCTCCATGCTTTTGGCAGCTGAGCACTTCCTGGCACCTGAATCACTTCGCTCAGAGAAGTATGCACCTCTTGTGGGGCTGGTCATGGGACTGACAAATGCTTTTTGCCCAGCAGCGGCAGAAAAACTGGGTCTGGAGTGCTTGCCTCCACCAGAGAAGGTGATGGAGAATCTTATGTGCCTGGTACGAGACTATCGCCTTTATGAGACACTGGTGTTAACTTCAAAATTGAACAGCATCTATCAGCACATGCAAGAGCACCTGAGGGACTTCCGTAAGCCACCTGCAAGCCCTGCGGTGTGGAATGGGAACGGTTTCTCGTCACCTTCAGATGTGGTGCTGACCTCCCCTGATGGCTTGGACCTTGGGGGCCTGATGTCACAAGTGCCCCCAAACTTCCAACGTTACAGCCAGCTCTTTGCACAGTGGGGAGTTCGACAGTCACCCACAGAAGAGGAGGTGTGCCAGGCCCTTCATAAGTTCGCAGATCAAATCAACAGCCAACCACAAGGTGGCACACAAGCTGAACTGCTCCTTGTGATAGCTGTCTTGGACTGGCTCCGTGATTGTGGACACCGTGGAGAACAGGAAATGCCTGTGCCTGTGCGGATTCTGGGATTGGCTGGTTTTGCTCTACGCCCTGCCAGTTCAGTGCTGTACTGTGATATGGATCGGACACGGCTTGATGAGCTGGATGGAGACCCACCAACTCTGGTGCATGAATCTGTTTCTTCTGCAACAGCTGCTTTTTTTGGTGTGGAGATGCTGAGTACACAGTTGTCCGGCCTAGAACTGTTTGAGGCTTGGGGTCCTTCAGAGCCCATCACCCTCCGCATCCGTAATATCCTTCGTGAGTACAGCCAGGATGCAGATGTGTTTCTGGAATTGCTTCAGAATGCGGAGGATGCCGGTGCCCAGACCTGCCGTTTCTTAGTGGATCTCCGGCAGCACAGTGGCGCCACAGAAGGACTCCTGGACCCTGGCATGGCTGCCTGCCACGGACCAGCACTTTGGGCTCAGAATGATGCATTGTTCAGTGACGCCGATTTCTTAAACATCACCCGACTAGGTGCAGCCACCAAGGAACGGCAGGGCAACAAAATCGGCCGCTTTGGTCTGGGTTTCTGCACAGTCTACCACGTGACTGATGTGCCTTCTCTCCTCAGTGGCCGCACCGTGCTCATCTTTGACCCCAATATCACCCATCTCCGGAAGCACATTCATGGCCAGGCCAGGCCAGGCATCCGTTTGAAACTCACTCAACAAGTTGCCACAGCATTTCCTGAACAATTTCGGCCCTTCACGGGCATCTTTGGCTGTCAAGCTGGGGAAGCTTATCAAGGCACACTCATACGCCTCCCCTTTCGCACTGAGCAGGAGGCAAAAGACTCTCAGATCAGTAGCAAGCCCTTCACATCCAAGCGAATCGGGGCACTGCAGACTGGCTTCCAGCAGGTGTACCAATCCCTGCTGATTTTCTTGCGCAGTGTACAGGAGGTGTCACTGGCCCACCTCCCAAGTGGTTCCTGTTTCCCAGAAGATGCCCAACCACTGGCCACGGTGTGCAGACAAACACTTGATGAGATGGGTGCTCCCAGTATTGTGAGACTGACAGCAACATGGGAGTCAGATGTGCGTACCAGTCATTACCTGCTGCACTCATGCTCGGCGAAGGGCGAAGCCCAGGAACTGTTCAAACAGGGAGGAGGAGAGGGTGTCCATTTCTCACCCCCAGTCGCTGGTGTGGCCCTGCCCCTCTGCCCAGCGTCCACTGCTGGACGATGGACCCCAGCTTTAGATGACTTTAAAGGCCATGTCTTCTGTTCTTTGCCCCTTCCTATTGAAACAGGCCTTCCGCTGCACCTCACAGCAGCCTTTGCTGTGCTTAGCAACCGCAAAGGGCTTTGGGACGCCACTAGGAAGGGCCAGTGGAACAGGGCACTCCTTCGGGATTCAGCACTGCAAGCCTGGCTTGGGGCACTGTCTCGGCTCAGGGACATGGACAGAGAAGGATTGTTGGAGAACTACCAGTACTACATTTTCTGGCCTGATCTGCACAATGCCAAATATCCTTTCAGCGAAACAGCCAAGGCCTTCTACCAGGCATTAGTCGATGGTGTTGATGGGGAGCAGCCTGTTTTATTCTCCGACGGACAGAGATGGTGTCCAGCCCGAGATGCCTGCATTTTGGATGCTGACATCATTGCTGAGAAACAGCTGAGTCCAATTGCTGCCCGCGTCTTCTCTTCACTCTTGCCAGAGCCACAGATCGCAGTGTCACTTCCCAACTGGGTGGAGATGAGTTTCAAAGAATGCATCAAATCAGATGAGCTGCGGCCAAAAACCTACAACTGGGTGCGATTCCTTCAAGAGCTTGTTCTGCCCAATCTGGCTCTGCTGGCAGTGCCTGATCGTGATACCTTGGTTCTTCATGCCCTGGATATGAAAGACGCTCGTGTGGACGAGATCCTTACCAGCCTGCCTTGCATTCCTACCACTCCACACAAAGCACTGAAAAATATTAAAGAACTCATACACCCCAAAGGCCGTGTTGCCCCTCTCTACACCCCGGAAGATGGCCACTTCCCCATGGGAGACGGCTTTCTGGAACCAGAAAGGCTGTTGCGCTTGACGTGTCTTGGTATGGCCCAAAATCGGGTGGCAGTGGAGAAACTGATAGATCGAGCCAGAACTGTGGCAGCTTTGTGGCATCATGATCAATATAAGGCCTGCCAACGAGCCCACCATATCCTGGCTCTCCTTGAAGATCATCTGCAGGAAAGCTTGAGCAATACAGTCCAGGTCATTTTTAGAGAGATCCCCTTCTTGCCCGCAGTACTTCCAGGTAATTGCCACAAACTCTGCTGTCCCAGTGAGATTTATCATCATAAGATGTTTCCACTAGTAGGTTTGATTGAACCTGTGCTGGAGAAGGATAAAGGCTTGAAGCTCTCCAAGGAGCTAAAGGAGTTCTTAGGCCTGAATCGCCAGCCACCAGTTGCTACAGTGCTAGGGCAGCTGGAGGCAGCCTCACTGAGCTCCAACGCCCTGTCGAGGGAGGAACTGGCCCAGATAGCGCCCAAGTGCTATGCCTTCCTGGATGAGATGGTGAAAAAGCACCCTCAGTGCCGCAGGGAGGTGTCCCAGAGGGCACAAGCATTCCCCTTTGTGCTGGTGGGCACTCGCTTTGTGCCTGTGTGCCTTGTGGACCGTAACCTGGCCTTTGATGGGGCTCCATATCTCTACCGGCTGCCTGAGGAGTACCAGCACCTACAGGAGCTGTGGAAGTGTGTGGGGCTGCTTAATGTCTTTGAAGTAAGGAACTATACTGCTGTCCTGCAGAAATTAGCCATGGAAAGGGCTGAGCAGGCTCTTTCGAAAGAGCAGCTGGAGCTGGTCAATAGGCTGATCACAGTGGGCATGGCTGGAGTTTTGCCAAAAGATCAGGTCCTGGATCCTTATGAGGCTCAGAACATCTTTTTCCCAGATCGAGACCAAGTCCTGCGTCCACTGCCCAAGCTGCTCTTTGACGACACGCCATGGCTGCCACGCAAAAATGGGGCCCTGTTTTGCCATCCCATGATTCCACGGGAAATTGCCCTGTGCTGCGGCATCCCGACTACAAAGCATCACCTGTTGTCACGCCAGCGGATCCAAGGCCTCTCTCCCTGGGCCACAGAGTTTGGGGCCAAGGAGGATCTCTGCACCCGCGTGGCCAACATCCTCCGTGACTACTCCTCTTCACAGGATGTGCTGAAGGAGCTGTTGCAGAATGCAGATGATGCTGGTGCCGGTGTCGTCCATTTTCTCTGGGATCTGCGTCAACACCCAACCGAACGCACCTTCAGTGAGGAATGGAACCATCTCCAGGGCCCGGCCCTTTGCATCTACAATGACCAGACCTTCCAGCTGAAAGACATCGAAGGGATCCAGCGCTTAGGCTGTGGTGGCAAAGGCAAACGGCAGGATGCTACTGGAAAGTATGGGCTGGGATTCAACACAGTTTTCCACTTGACTGATTGCCCTGCCTTTGTGACAGGGGACAGCCTTCTATGTGTTTTTGACCCCACATTGCGCTACTTGCCTGACTCTCACGAGGCCTCGCCTGGTGCAAAGTACAGCCTCACTAAAGATTTCAAATCCACCTTTCCGGATGTTTATGATGCCTTTTTGCCTGATGTGTTTGATTTGGAACATGGCACAGTTTTCCGGTTGCCCCTACGTACTCCTGCTGGGGCAGCAGCCTCCCCAATCTGCCAGAACGCAGTGTCTGAGGAAGATATGAAAAGACTGATCCAGACTCTTGTGGAAGATGCAGACTGCCTTGTGATGTTCCTCAACCATGTTCGCTCTCTGGTCTTCTCTGTGATCAAGAAGGGAGAACCACCAAAGGAGATTCTGCGAGTGGAGACTGAAGGTGGTGAGTCGGAAAGACTGGAATACCAAAAACACCTCCAAAAGGCTGCTGCAGCAGGTGGCATGGATGAAGGCAAGCCAAGAAGAGTTTTTTACAAAATGAAGGTGAACAACAACTCTGCTGAGGCTCCCAGGAACTGGCTGGTTGGTAGGCAAATTGGGGTGGAGAGCACAGCAATGAGACAAAGCATGCTGCTGCCCCATGGTGGTGTGGCTGCTTGCCTCACTGAACAGCGACGCGGCAGAGCCTTCTGTACGCTGCCACTGCCGGTGCAAACAGGCCTCCCCATCCACGTCAACGGGAATTTTGCTGTGGACTCGGGACGGCGTGACTTGCGGAAGGACAGCAGTGAAGGCAGCACTGACGCGGCGTGGAACGACTCACTGCTGCGGTGCCTCGTGGCCCCACTGTACTGCCAGCTGCTCGAGGAGCTGCGCCAGGCTCTGGGAGGTGCACCTTTGGAGTTCTCCTCCATGAGGAAATGCCAAGAACGGCTCCATCAAAACTATCTGCGATATTTCCCATTGGTGACAGAGGATGTTGCCCCCCACTGGCAGAGGCTGGTGACACGTGTGTATGAATTGGCATATGAAGGGCACGTTCCATTGGTGCCAGTATACCAAAAGCAGATTAAGTATGTCTTGCCATGTAGAGTAGAAACAGTGAGTGTGTGCTGGAGTGCCCCCAAATTAGGCCACCCGGCCAGAGATCCCTATTTCTGGGAGTCTGAAATAGATGATTGCCTAGAGGGGACTCTTCAGGATTTGGGCATGCTTTTAGTCCCTCCCTTCGAACACTTGCAGAAGGTCCGCAATCAGTTTGTCAAGGCAGAAATTGCTGTCCTCACACTTGATGCCCCTTCCCTCTGCCACTTTCTCAAAAGCCTGCCTAGCTTCTACCTGCCCTGCCCACTTAAAGAAGCACCCATAAAAAGCAGTAGCGAATGCTCTAATCTCCTCAACTTCTGCCTCCGTGGGCAGGTTTTGGAGGATGTGAGCTGTGTGGAAGGTCTCCCGTTACTGGTGACACGGGATAAAATGCTGCAGTGCTTCAGTCAGCAAAAACCTGTATACCAGAGCAGTAGTTATCATCTTTTCCCACAACACCAGGACTGTTTCTCTGCCTGCCAAATTAATGATGTAAAGGCAAAGGAGGGGTTAATAAAGACAGGGTTCCTGAAGGAGTTTACACTCTCTGAGTCTGTGAACTATATTCAGGAGATGCTGATAAGGGATGAGTGGATCACTGCTACTGATGAAGGCCAGAAGTGGCTAAAGGAGCTGTGGAAATTCTTTGAGAGACAGGTCTGTAAGTTTAAGGATGAGGACACAAACCAGATGTTTGAAAAGCTAGTGGACCTCTTCAGAGGCTACAAACTGCTACCTGTGAGTGGCTGCAATAAGCTCTTGGTTTCCTTTGAGACTCTGCATACAGTCATGCCTGATGACTCCAGAGACATTTCTGACATCCTCTGCAAGCTGGGTTTTCTCAAGATAGACTCCTCCCTTCTGCCACAAAAGCTCACCAGTTCTTGCATCCAGCCACGACTGTTGAAGAGCAAGGATCCTGCCGTAGTGCTTGTGCAACTGGCCACACATGGTAGCCTGTGCTGGGATAAGCTCAAACCATGGGAGATGAGCAGATTAACATGGTTCCTTTGTGAAGACCTGAAGGTGTTGCAGTGTGACCACCAATTAATAGGCAAGCTGAAATCCTTGCCAGTGTTTGAGAATACTCAAGGAAAGTATGTTCCACTGACTCCATATGAAAATGTGTACCGTCTGCAGTCTAAGATTTCAGATGAGTCTAAGAACTTGAAGGAGCTTTATGAGGTTGATAGAAAGACTGTTTTGCTGAAAGACAACTGCCTGCATCAACATCTCAGTGCGTGCTTGGGGATTGATGTGATGAATGACTTGCAGCAGTTCATGCACCAGCTCTTGCCTCGTCTCCCCTCCCTCCCTGAAGCCCATGTACTAGAAGCTGTGAAGCTATTGCTCACCATTAAGAATCTTTATTATGGAGAGTATCAGAAAGTGAAAGAGAAAGTGGTGCTGCACTTCCAGTCTTTCCCCTTCATCCGAGACCACCAGAATGAGCTGCAACCTGTATCCTACTTCTATGATGAGCATAAGTCACTTTTTCAGACCCTGGGGTTGGCATCTCGGTTTGTGCCAGACAAATTCTATATGTCAGTGGGGCCAGGCAATAAAGGGGCTGTGGAACAATTCTTATTAGACGTAGGCCTGCAGACCAAACTGACCAAAGAAGATTTTCTGATGTGTGTTGCTCGAATTCAGGAAGAAGCATTGCGGGATGGTGCCATGTCCGGTGATCTCCCTCAGAGAAGGGAACTGCTCTTGGAGCACCTGCTTTCCTGGCCAGATGAAGCCCTGTCAGATGACTTTCTGAAAAAAGTATCCAGGATCCATTTCCTAGTGCCACAGAGTGTTCCTGAAGATCTGCGTCACCTTCACCACCCATATGCCCCACATGATTACCCAGTGGCACCCCAAGGTTCTGTGTACCTTGCGTACAAGGTAGAGCTAATCTGGACTTCAGCAGTCATTTTTCCTTTTTGCAAATATCTGGACAAAAAGAGAGAATCCATTCTAAAACTACTTGGGGTTCTCTGCACTGTTCCAGCACAGTTGGTTTTGAAGAATCTGAGCAATGTGTGCCAGGCACCATGCAACGATTTGAAAGCAAGGAAAACCCGGGCACAGGTTCTAACGTCAATATATAAGTATTTGTCAGAACAGAAAGAGATAGAGACTGGCTGCCTAAAAGGACTTCCTGTGGTACTAGTGGATGATGATGAGGTAGCAGAAGCCCAGAATGTGGTGGTTTCCTTAAAAATGGCTGTTTTTTTCCGACCATATCTCTACAAGCTGCCCCCAAAATTAGCTGTCTATGAAGATCTCCTGGAGAGATTTGGAGTGCAAGAAGAACCAAGCATCCATCACTTTGCCAGTGTTCTGGCCAGGATTCATGACGAAACCATAATAAAGGGCACACTGCATCCTAATCTCACTAAAACATTGTGCAGGGCCACTCAGTTTCTCTTCCAACTCTTAGATGAGGCACAAAAGCCAGTGGATTTTTCAGAGCTGAAGGAATTGTACCTGCCTTGCACTGATGGGAAGCTATATCCATCAAACACCCTTGTATTTAGTTTCTGCAAATTTGTCCAAAACTCCAAGGCTTTGCAGAGCACGTTTCACTTCCTGGAGGACCTCTCTGTATGCCATCTTGTCCATGACAGGTATAAGCAGTGGAAACTTCTACAGCTGCTGCCTGAGGCCTTGCGCCCCAGGAACTTATTGGACATCATTGAAGAGCAGCTGGACAAGTCTTCTCTGAAACTGTGCCCCTATGGAGAACACTGTGAGTTGCAGAACTGCCTCAAAGAACTCCTAGTTTCTTCTGAGTTCCGGTATGCCCTAGTTGCGCTGCTGAAATCGCAGAACAAAAAAAAGGTAGAGGGGAGAGATGAGGTCGAATGCATGTGTGATGGGCTCTTCTCACCACAGCATCTAGAAGTGGTTTGCTGTAAAAAGTTGTGTACTGTGATGGTGCACAACTCACAGTCTTTGGAGGGTACTCAGTGTGACAAGGTTGTGCATGTCGCAAAAATGACACAGGGAAAGCAGCAAATTTACCTTGCACACCAGGAGAGAGATAATGTAGCGATGGTCACCATCCTAGCCGGGGAAATTAATAACTGCATAGGAAGAAGACTTGGGAATGATGCCCTGCTAGTCCTTGTGCAGATTTTGGCTTGCCAAGAACCTCAGGAAATTGTTGCAGTGCTACAGAGAAACAAAGTGCCAGTGTATCAGCCTCCAAACCAAAATGCTTACAACCTGCCTTCTCCTGGAGAGGACGTCCCTGAGGAATGGTATGACAGCTTGGACATGAATATCCTCCATACTTTTCTGCCAGGAGATTACGTGGGTTATCTGGTCTCTTCCCAGCCCAGAGAGCATTACGTTTATGCCGTGATCCTTGAAGCCCTTGGGCCACGGCAGAGTGGTGCTGGCCAAGTGCATATATATCGTGTCGATCTGGGAGAAGGGCAAGAAGCAGAAGTCAGCACCTACGATCTTTACCACTTTCAGAGGACCAGTCCAGCCTCTGACTTGAATAAAGCTGTGGTCCTGGCAGAAAGTTCCCCTGGTGCTCCCAGTAGTACAAACTTTGGCACAAGTGGTGACTGGTACCAGCGGCCACTACATGAGGTGAAGAAAGAACTGGATATCCACTTAGCTGAAATTTGGAGTCTGTCAGAAGAAGAAAAGAAGAAGGCCTTACGAAGACTCTATCTGTGCTACCACCCAGATAAAAACTTGGGTCATGAGACTTCTGCTAATGAAATCTTCAAATACCTTAAGGAGAGTATAATGAAGATGCAGGAGGGGGAGCAGAATAGTTCTAGCAGGAGGCACAAAGGTAATAGTTCCTACAACAGCAATTTCCAGAACTTCTCAGAGTCCTGGGCAGAATGGGATGGGCAGGCTCATTGGCACCATCAGAAGCGTGAGGAATTCACTAGACAAACAAGAGGTGGTAGAGGAGGGCAACCCTTCAGGTATAACTTCTGGTCATTCCATCAGAGTGCACCAAATCGTTCAGGGAATCGGTCAACGCGTGGCTGCCCGAAGGAAGCCCCTCGCTGGCTTCGGCAAGCAGAGTGTGATCTGCAGGGGGCAGCCAGTGAGGCTGGAAGTAGCAGCCCAGAGTGGCTCCTTTACAAGACTTATCGGGCAGTGGAGAAAGCACTGACAGCTGTTGTGTACCACCAAGGAGGCCACTTTGACAAGAAACGGTCTCTTGAAATGTTGGCTAATGAGGTGGCATCCTATGGAGAGGCACTGGCCACACTTCCTGACCAAGTTGCTGAGCTCCAAGAGCATGGCATGGATGATAAGGCCACTCAATATCCCCTCTACCACAATTTCCCCACCATTCCCAATGAGGCCTTCCCCAAATGCAAAGAGCAGGCTGTGCTACTCTTAGCTCGGGAAATCCTAAACACAGTGAAGAGGTGGCTTGCCCAGTCATGAGAGTGGAAGATTCTTGTTTATTAGGCCATCTGTATATGTAGCAGAACAGAACCTGTAATGATGAATCATTGGGGACAATTTTTTCAAAAGGGTTTTCTGTTGAAAATATATATTGACCCTTAAAATAAGATTTCTAGGTCAGGCAGAGAGGAGGATGGTGATATTTGTAAAAGTGGGGTTAGATCACCATTGCTTAATAAAGACACTTTGTTACCTGCCTTCTGTTGTTTTGTGTTAACAAACATTTTCATTAAGAAACGAAGAGGCTGATTATGTGTTTATAGAAAAGCTATGGGTGGCAAAAGGAAATTTCTATTTTATGAAATGGAGGCAGTAACTCACTGAATAAGGTTTTACTTCCCTCTTCCAGTATATGAACCTTCTAGTCAGTCAAAGGTGCTCCCTCCAACCTCAGCCCCACAACTGAGTTCTTCCCAACTGACCTCTTTACCTAAACCTTAACGGTGCCCATAATCTCACTTCCATCTTTGGTGCAAATTTGCAACCCCATTCTGTCAGGCTAGGGTTACTGTCTTTTTAAGAGATTTGAAGAAGAGGGCATTTTGGCATGTCCAGGTTCCAGAAACTACACCTTTTCAAACACCATCTTCCATAAAACTAAACTACTCTCTTTGATTCTACACCTGTGGTTCTGCATTGGATAGGGAGTTGGACTTCATGGCCTTTTAGGCTCCTTCCAACTCTGCTATGATTCTATTCTGTAAACTAGAGTACTCCTGGTCATCCAATGAATTATGACTATCATTTGTGCCTTCTAAGTGTCTGCCTGATTTATGAGCCCAATTTCCTTAATGGTGGAGAATCTGGGTGGGAAACTTGTGACTCTCCAGATGTTTTGGCTTGCAACTGCCATCAGCCATAGCCAATGCTGAGGGATTATGGACATCGTAGAACAAAATATCTAGAGGGCCATAACTTGCTTAGCCTTGCAACAGACTGGGGTGGGGAACCTATGACCTTCCATAAGTTGATAGTCTAAAATTTTCATCTTCCATCAACACAAATAAGGTGATTTCTCATTTGTGCTGTGTAAAAATACAATTTTTGCCCAGCACATGTGAGAAAATGCCCTGTTTGTCACATTTAGGGCTCAATTTCATGATCAATATGGAATAATCAATCCACCCTTCTTTATTCATGGGGAAATACATTAAAATGGTTAAAAAGGAATAGAGTCACCTGCTTATGAATATTTATAGATGAAATGGGCTTTTAATTTCAACTGGTCTTGGTAGTCACTCAAGGTATGTCCAGAGGGCCAAGTTCAAGCACTACTAATCAAAAGGCTCTGTGCAGTGATTTCTTTTTATCCTTCTTAGTAATTTTTGTATTAAGATTAAAGACAACCAGTGGGAAAATACAGAACAACAACAGATGAGAGATTACATCCATGTTCCAAGCATGATGATTGCACAATAAAAGTAACCTGGAAGCTGCTTGAATGCAAAGTGTGGTCACTAGAATTTTTTTTCTTCTGTTTTGAGTTGGTCAGATACAAATTTCCGTTTGTTTGTTTGTTTGTTTCACTTCTATGAAGCACTCTAGATGGTTCACATCAGTTCATAAAACAAGACAATGCAAAAAATCACAACAATTTTCTCATACAAAACAAAATTACTCTGTGACATGGCTCTACTCTAGAAACTGTTTTGATAGGAGTATGCCATCAGAAACATCATGTACTAGCATTTCACTGCTGAGGTTTCGTATTGGCCTTCCACATAGCTCAGGATGCTGGATTTGATCTACAAAATGAGAACTGCTTTAAGACTGACCTACCATGTCCCTCCAAGATCTCAAAGATCAACTGAGTACCATTAAAACAAATCAATTACCTAACACTTTGAGACTCATCTGAGCTGAAGCATCTGTTATGAAACTTATCTGAGGATTGCTCGGAGAGGTAGAACAGGCAGAATAGAGCCAGTAGAGCTGGAAGGGAGAATTTAATTACAGTGTGTTTGAATTTTATTATATTTTAGTGGGGTTTTATTGTGGTCACCCATTCTCAGCTGTCAAAAAGAATAGGGCTATATGAAATTCCATGAAATGAATGAGTAGATTAGAATAATGAGATCCCCTCTCCCTCCCCAAATTTAAATCATGTTGGTCTTGTTCTGGCACAGCAGCTTATTCACAGAGCATCTGAAACTGGGATACCAGTACAGTGGAAATTGTGCATAAAGTGATGCCAATGCAAAATAATCTAATCTTTCTGGTTATAATATTTAATTACACCCACCTTCATGTATAGTTGCTAACTAGTTTTCTTGTCTGGCAGGGCTCTGACGCCTTTCACACCTCTGTGACAGGCTGAAATGCCCCACATTGATTTGAAATGGCAGCGGCTTGACCTGTTGAATGTTTTGCCGGTTTGGGCAGCAAGAAATGACAGCTCTTCTCCATTCTTGAGTCTCAAAATCTGCAGTTGATGGACAAGCACTGCAGTTACTTGCCACTTATCCTTCTTCTGTTTTTCAAGAGAAGATTGTGAAGGGAGTCCCCTCTCACTAATGATGGCACCTCTTTGAAGATTCCTACCCACTTTTTTTCCCCTACAGTGAATACTTCACTTCCCTGATCTCCTCTCTATTTTTGTTTGAATTATGTAGGTCAAAATGAAAATGTGGTGCCTCCTTGACAGCAAAAAACAAAACCAAAACCCTTTTAGCCTCCCCCCCCAATCAAATATTATGGCTCTTTTTAAATTTTGCTTTGTTTTTTAATCGATTTGGGCTATCCAAATAACAATAAATACGGTACAGTGTTTTTTCTTCAGGGCTTTAGTTATTGCCCGGACCAAATATGGTGCCCCCTGCGCTTCACAGTGCCAACAATAAAGATGGCGGCCATAAATTGCGCTACTCCACGCCCTCTAAAGCTCCGAACCGTGTGCTCCAGTTAAAATGTCAAGATTTTCTTTAATTCTGCGGTGAGCTCTCTTAAACCAAGGTTAATGTCTCCCGAAGCGGAGCAAATATCACAGCATCCTTCAAGCTAACATGCCCACACCAAAGATGGCGCCTCGATGACGTTCTAAGCCCCCTCCCTCAGCTGCCCACAATTAAAATGGCGATAATATGAGCGTTTTTACTCCTCCCCTCCTTGCCCACAGAAAAGATGGGGGTGGAGTGGGGGGTGGGGTGCCCTGTTAACTTCCATAGGAGCTGGATTTGAGGGTGGAGGGGATAGACTGCTGCAAGGGGTCAGCCCCCATATGACGGCTTGCTGCTGTAGGGGTGGGAGACCCTCTGTCCCATCGCTCAGAAGAAGTGCCTCCCCTCCGCTAAAATGTCGACAGCAATAAGAAGTTGTGAGTACCGGGCGATGGGGAGAGCGGGGGGGATTGGGAGGGATTCCCCTCAGATTAGTAAGAGGGACAGGGAAAGAGACACACACACCCGTCAGTACCCAGAAATCTACTCTGCACTTCGGGAATGGGTGTGTGCCAAGTAGGTCATGCAGGTGGGAAAGATAAAAGAGTCCAAGAAAGGGAAGGGCAGGTAAGACCCCTGGGTGATTTAGCCTGGGAGCAGAGGGCAGAGTTTCTGGGGTCGCACTAGGGGAACGCTGAGATCGAGGACTTCTGGGTGCTCGAAAGGTACGCACTAATGCGGATCCTTATCCACAAAGCCTTTTACCTCCAAGGAGAAGATCTTCCACAGTGCACGATTATGGATTATGTAGTGATACAAGAATGAGATGCTATGACCTCAGAACCTGTGCTTGGTAGTTGTTCTGTATCAGTTAAGAGACAGTGTAAGCTGTGCTCAGGTTATGCAATGAAGGCAGAGGCTGGAATTATATGGGTGATGTTGCATCTTTTGGGTTTGCTTGGAGTCTCCCCTAGTCTCAGCCAGGTGTGTGCTGAGAGGGTCTAGAATCCAACTTCTCCTTCCCAAATACACATTTTCCCCCTGCTACCTCAGCCTGCTAAAGAAGTAAAGCAGTTTCCCAGCAAAGTTGTAAAAAATTGCAACCTTTTAATGGTAGAAATTAACATTTAACTCAAATGTGTGTTCAGGTTCAATTTAAAATATATGCTGTATTGTTGTTATCTGCTTCTCACACACACCTACCTTCCCATTCTGTACACTTTATAAAAGCAGTAAAAATTGTGGTCTACAAATAATGATCTTCTAATCTCCAGAGTAAGTTTGAATTTAGGGTTTTGTAGGGGGAAGCTAGGATAGAGTGGCTTAGCATACGACAGTGGGGGTGGAGCTAGGACTTCTGGGTACTTTGGAAAGGAGCAACTTCACTCCCTAGTTTTGGCTGCAGTCCTATGCACACAGTCCTGTGAATGAAACCCATTAAATTGCATGGGACTTACTTTCCAATAGACATGCATAGCATTGCACTGTAAACCTTGCAAGTACGAAGTCTGCGTCTCCTGACTCTGCCCCCAAAACACCTGCATCACATACACACTGACGTTTAAGAAATCAGGAGCTGCAAATGTCATAAAGTGTGGAAGGTATGTCACATCTTGTTGCAGTAACTGTTGCTCCAGAAATATTTTGTCCATATCGACCCATTGAGAATGATTGGATTGGGATTAGATTGAAAGGTGATTCTCCTGATGTCAGCCTACCCTCCATGGCTGAATGCTCATTTGAACCCTGGAGATTTCTCACCTCCAAATTTATTTATTTATATTTATTCATTAGACTTCTACCCCACTTTTTCCCAACAAACTGAAAGCAGCTTCTCCTGCTCTCAATCTTATCCTCATAACAACCCTGTGAGGTAGGTCAGGCTGAGAGTCTGTGACTAGCCCAAAGTAGCTGAGAGGGACTAAACCCCAGATCACCTGAGTCACCACCCCATGTTCTTAACCACTATACCATACTAGTCCTCTATACCACACTAGACTAGACTTCTAAACTACCCTCCAAACCTAATGCTATCTGCTGACATACACCAGATTTTCTGGAATTGAGAACATTCGAGGATTCCCAAAAGCCTTTGATCTACTACCCACTTATGCAAGAAAAGTCTATATGCTGAACCTTATTGTAACCAACCTGTCTTGAATGATGTCATGTTTTGTAGTGTGGAGAGACACTTTCAGATATGGGCATGGCAACATCCGTGCAGATTCATAATATTCCTGCTGTCTTGTGAGTGTTGCGTGGAGGTGTTCACTCTGCAGGCAACGACTATGCTCACCCCTCACGCAGTTTAATTTCTATGTATCCGGGGATTAGGCTCAGTGGCTTTGGGACCCTTGCTCATCTCCCTGACTTTTCTTTCTGCCCCCCAGAGGCAACACTGGGTAGATGGACAACTGCGAAGAAGAGTGGCCAGAGGGCCAGCACTCTTTAGAGGCTCCGGGTGGTATTCAGGCCTCTGCTGGAACCGTGGAAGAGTGTGTGGTTCTCTACTCCGATCCTGAGGATGACCCTGCACTCCTTGCTGACAATGGGGCAGGTGCCCGGGCTCCCTTCCACTGTTCTGAATGTGACAAAAGCTTCCGCTACCGCTCAGACCTGCGTCGCCATTTTGCTCGGCATACTGAGCTGAAGCCGTTCCAGTGCCCTCACTGCGTCAAGAGCTTCAAGCATTCCTTCAACCTGGTGAACCACATCCGGAGCCACACTGGGGAGCGCCCTTACCGCTGCACCATGTGTCCCAAAGGCTTCCGGGATTCCACAGGGCTCTTGCATCACCAGGTGGTGCACACGGGGGAGAAGCCGTATTGCTGCCATGTCTGTGAGCTCCGCTTCTCCTCGCGCAGCAGCCTGGGCCGCCACCTCAAGCGGCAGCACCGGGCTTCTCCAGCCGCCGCCGCCCCTCAGACCCCTGCCCCCCGCTGCCTGGCCTGTGGCAAAGAGCAGAGCCCTCTGGGGCACCTGTGCAGTGCGGGGCGGGGCCGGGCTGCCCCGTTTGGTTGCGGGGCCTGTGGGCGGCACTTCCCATTAGCATGTGAGTTGCGCCGCCATTGGCTGGCCCATACTGACATCAAGCCCTTTAAATGCCCGGACTGTGAGAGGGACTTCAATGCCGCATCACTGCTGGAACGCCACAAGCTCACGCATGCCAAGGACAGGCCTCCACCCTGCCCGGTGTGTGCTGGGAAGGTCCAGCAGAAGAACAGGTCGCTGGAACTTCAGGGCCTGGAGGAAGAGCAGAAAGGGGGCGAGCGAGAGGGACCAGCTCAGCAGCACAGCAAAGGCTGCCCAACCTGCCACCCCCTGGATGCTCGTCCCTCTGAGACTCTGTATCAGTGTGAATGTGGGACCTTTTTTGCCAACGGCAACACACTTGCAGCCCACTTGACTGCCCATGGGGGTGAGCCCTCCTTCACCTGTGGCATATGCGGCCAGCCCTTTGTGAACCTACAGGCCCTGGAGGAGCACCAGCTGAGCCATGCTGTGTCCCCATCTCCGATGCCAGGACCAGGCAGTGAGCTTGAACGCCACCTCTTGCCCCCACTGGATCTTCGGACTTTCCCAGCCCGGCCTGGCAAGAAACTCTACAAGTGCAGCGAGTGCGAGAAATATTTCCGCAGCCCACGGGATCTGGACCGTCACGTCTTGGTGCACACCGGTGAGAAACCCTACCAGTGCACCGAGTGTGGCAAATTCTTCCGGCATGAGTGCTACCTGAAACGGCACAGGCTGCTGCACAGTGGCGAGCGCCCTTTCAAGTGCACCTTCTGCCACAAGGGCTTCATCACCTTGAGCAACCTTTCCCGCCATCTCAAGCTGCACCGTGGAATTGACTAGAGGCGGGATCCTGGCCTCAGCAGAACAGCCTCTCTTCCTACCCTGCCCCGTCTCAGCACTGCTGTCCACTACCTCTGCCCAGAGATGATCTGGTTTCGGAGATGTCCCTCTGCCTGATGGCACACTTAGAACTTTGCTCACTCTGCTCTCCTGGTCACCTCCTGTAGCCAAGAACTCACAAACTTGGAAACGAACCAATGAAAAGTATTATGATTATTTACTAATATCTCACTACTGTTAATAGTATGTGTTGCACATGCGTGGCAGTTATAAAGTTTTGGAGTGGGGGATTAGGGGTAGATGCCTGGCTGCACTATGTGCCCCAGTTGAGCTTTTGGGATTTGCATCCATCATACTTTAGATGAGAATTAAGCTATGTCAGGAAATTGAAAGGTATTTTGTCATCACAAATGTGAAGTGACTAAATTGCCAAGATCCTGCTGGGCAAAACATGTGAGCACTGTAGTTGTTTGGCATAGGAAGGGTGGATCAGAGAAATCACAGCACCTTCACAAAACTTCACATCCAAAGGTCATGTTGAGACAACCCGGACCAATGAATCACTCTAAAATCCATTTTAGCTTGTAGAATAGCTCTACACATTATTTATAGAAAAGCTTTATGGTGATTATTTAGGGAAGCTTACTATTATGATTTGAGGTCCTTCTGCTTCACACCTCCAATATTTCTGTCCACCTTTTTCTTAAAAAATAAGCTGGGATCAATGCCCTTATGCCCTTTTTAAAAAGTCACATGATTGACCTAAAATCAGAAGGTTTAAATACAAAGGCTGAGGTACTTTTAGTTGCTGTCTAAACAAAACTCTTGATAGTTTTAGCTCAAGGGCTATCATTTTGTTTCCAGAGATGTTACTGCAATCATGAGAACTGGATTTTTTTTAAGCTGCTACAATCCTGTTTGGCTCATCACTGGGTAGGGCAACATTGCTTTGAAGATGACTTGCTGCCTGCAGGTTGTATAGTAGTTGTGTCTCCTGTAGGCCTCTGTGATTTATATGGAGCCTACAGTATTGCATAACTTCTGTCTGAAGGCTTTCTAAGGGGCAGGGTTCAATCATGCGCTCTTTCTTATTGTGGGAGGGGGTTGCTTCCTATCACACCTGCTGCTTGTTTTACTTCTATTTCCTTTCTTCTGTCATAACACCATTTCTCTTGGCCCCTACGAGCCAAGCAGAAGCATGTTTGTTTCTAAAAATTTACTGTTCATTTCTGGAAACTAGTTGAATACTAAAGATTTTATACCACGGTAGAGCCAATGTACAAGTCTGATCTTCAATATAAGGCAACAGTTTACAAACTATTGCAGTGAAGAGAGTATTTGCAATTTGCAGAAGGATAGTGGGGAACTGGATAAATTTCTCCTTCATGTCTGGCTATATAGGGGCTGGAGTGTGGGAAGCTCTTTCTTTGTTCTAGGTTTGTGTGTCTCTGTAGCCTCCCAAGTGTGTAGCACCTAAACAAGACCTGGGTTGCAGGAGCTTGGAAGCCACATACACTTGTACCAAAGTCAAATAAGCTTTCAGAAAACATGCTTAAAAAGAAAGGAATATGCTATAAGAAAAAAATGGGATGCAAATTTGGGTTGTCAGTTTTCCAGTTCTACACATGAAAAAGAAACTCCTGCTGCCCTTGCAATATTCTCCTTTGCCTACTTGCGTTATTCCTTATGGCCTCCTGACTGGACACACTGGTAACTAAATGCCATATTAATTGGATTCAGATTCCACAGAAACAGCTGTTTGCCCTCTCTTCCTCCATGAAATTATTTTCTGACAAATAGTAGAGTCTTATTCTCCTTTTATTTTTATTTCTTTTAAGTCCTTGGTAGGTCTTTGAAAATAATCTAATAAAAATATGTTCCTGACCAAATTCCAGTTCTTTATCTTCTGTGGAATGCAAGCCTTCTGACAGAATGTTTCTTACAGTGTGTGTTCTTGTGTTATGCAAAGAAAGTTATCTTAGGATACAGGTGGGCTGGCCAGGTGTCCTACTTTACAACAGACAATCCTCTGAGCTGTTGGAGGTCAGTCACCCATTTGAAGAGCCGCTCACTTCAAGTCTTGTTTAAAAATAAAGCGCCAAAATAAGGGGCAGCCAGCAAGGGCCACGAAGGTGCCTGCTCACAGTTAGCCTAACCAGGCATGATGCAGGTGCAGATTTCATAAATGGGAGCATCTTTGCAAAGGAAGGGCATGGGAAGTGTGGTCACTGTGCTTAAATGGCTCTGCAAAGTAAATGGCTGGCTGAAGAATGATGGAAGATACCAGACCTTTTTTTCCTGCCCAAACATGCATAGGTTGTACCCCTTCTCTCTTTAAAGGCTGCCTTTCAAAGATTCCCATGGTAGTATATGGTAGAGGAATTTGTTGTGGGATAGATTTTCCTGAGCTCACTTCAGAGGAATAATATGTCATTCTATAGCTGATATAGATTGTATAGATAGATCTATAGAAATGGGTGTGTTGAATCCACCCCTGGCTGCTCACTTGGCTTGGGGTATGTGGGGCAGAGAGGTTTTCTCCTTACTCTACACGGGGCTGGAGTAGGCTTTTGCAGAGTATACCTCACTGGAGGAGAGGCACGTGGCAAGACAAAGGACTGGTTCCCCATCCTTGCTATAGATATAGCTGGGTGATATGCATCAGAGCGAGGTAACCTGGAGATGCTTTGGACTGTATTTCCTATTATCCGCAGCTAGTATGATGAATGATGAGGTAACGATGGCAGCTGCAGTCCAAACACCCCATGAAAGAGATACAATCACATTTCTATGCAAAGTTCAGACATGCATTTTTATAAATAAAAATGCAGTAAATGCTCCTTTGCTTCCCTGCTTATCTGGTTAGTCGAACATTTTTAACCGGAACCCTCATCTTGGCTGCATCCAAAACACATAAGGTCAAACCCAGTCATGAATGTTAGTCCAACAATTTCATGCTGAGATCTGCCTCCGCAGCTTTTCTGTTGGAGAACGAGCGCTGATCAGCAGCAGCGTCCTAGAAGACAGAAACGTTCTTCCATTGGTTTATGAAGGCTGCCGTCTCATCGGTGTCTTTGGCAAGAGCCTTTCCCTGCAGTTCTGCCCACGGGCCTCTAAATGAGGCTGAGCATGGGACTCCCCCCAGTGGAACAAAGCCTGGTGCCTGGAGGGGTGGGAGGAAGTGGGAGAAAGAAACAAATGGCGATGCGCCCCCAGGTGGTCCCTGCCTGCGCCACTCGTCTCACCCACCTTTCTGATTTGCTGCTGAACTCTGCAGGGCTGGGAGGATCAGGCCCCTCCATCTTCTCCTGCATCTTTCTCCCTGCTTCCCTTTTCCCAAGCTTTGGGGTTAGAGAGAAGAATACATGGACTCAGTGAGGACGACAGGTATGGCCAAACCCCCTTCCTTCCCCTGGGACTGCCAAGACAGCCTGAATTTCTGAGCTGCCTCTACAAACCACCTGGCTGTAGTTTTTTGATCCACAGACTCAAGAGTCTTGTGCATTCCTCCTCTACTCGCTCACCGTTCTCCATATTTCAACTCCAGTCTCCTTTTGCTATCCAGCTCTGCTGATGAAGCCCCACCGCCACCTGTTTGAGCATTTCAGCAATTCCGGATGTTACTCTAAACAGAGTTGCGTGGCACTTTAAACACTTCCAGATATTGCAAGTTCTTTTGCTGGTTTTGCTCCTCTTTTCTGGCTAAGTCTGACATGCTAACCCCAACCCAGTCTCCTCCAGATGTATTGGACTGCAAGTCCCATCATCACCAGCTGGCTAGGGTGGGTCTGATTATACCGCTCCTCTATTAAACCCCCAGTATTGTCTATCCATTTGTTTCCAAGCTCAGTTCAAGGGTCAGTTCTGAGCTTTTTAACTTTTTAATTACATTTCTATGGTGCCCAATAACCCGAGCTCTCCAGGCAGCTCACAGGACCAAACTGAAAGTTCAAGCCCATATAACAAAATGCAAAAGTGGAAGCAGCATAAAGTTAAGTTAAAATCAAAGGAAAAGCCAGCAGAAGCCTCTTAAAACACCCTGAGCACATTTTCAAGGTGAGAGAGAATTCCAGCGGTGGGCAGAGCAAAGCCAAGTGGCCCTGTGGCAGCCTCCTTTCATGGAAAGCTCTTGCAGCGAGTCACCGGAGAGGCATTGCCGACAGGAGTGGCGGGATGGAGGCTGTGTCAGGACGCCGCACCAGCATTTTTTCCATTAGCAGGGACGCTGATGTCCTCTGTCCTGGTCCCGGATTAAAGCAACTGGTGGCCCTGGGCTAGGAGACCTTGGGAGGCCCAAACATAATAGCATCTGATCATGAGAAACAATATCTCATTCTCTTCTTTATTGACTCAATGAAAGTGGAACATTGCTGAAATTTTAGCATCGACAAAATGATTGCTTATACATTTATAACCTTTAATAAGCAAGAGGAAGCCAAGAGGCATCAGTTTGGCATTTGCCACAAAATCTTTGCCAGGCTGTAGCAGCCACCACACCGTTACCTGCTCCGCACAGGTAAAAAGCCCTGAAGGTGGAATGGCTGGTTCACCTCGGGCAGCATGAATGCATAATTGTTGGGCCCAGGATGTAGGTGGCTGGCAGCTACACCAACCTGGTCAGGGCGCCAAGACCAGGTGCAGGCCTTGCCCAAGCTGGAGAGGGCCGGAGGCAAAAGACAAGACTGCAGCTGCCCCGGGTCCACGCAGCAAGGCAACAGGGTTCAGACAGAAACACAAGCCAAGGGCCAGACACCCATAAGACAACTTGGTGAGGAACAGGGTAAGGCCATGAAGAACTGGGTGTAGGTATCGGGCAGGGCAGGACCAGGCGGGAGACAAGAATAGCAGCAAGACCAAGCTGGGACTTGGCTGAAGTTATCTTTGTAACACTCAGGTTGCTGTTACGAAGAGGAGTGGCCCAGGGAAGCCTTTTATGGCGCTCTCCAGGGCTTCCAGCCGCGCTGCATGAGTGCACCAGGTGTGTTCCTGGTTCTGCAGGCACCTGCAGGGTGAATCAGGATGCAATCCTGACACTGCATCCCATCACTAGGGACCGCCTGTGTTTCATCAGGCCTCCACGCCAGGAATTAGAAGCAGCCTTCCCTGGGCTCATTTCCTCTTTGATGCCATCCCCACAAACCTATTTCTAAACCTTCAAGCGCAAGTATGACCAGGCAACATACTTCCTCCATCACACAGGAGTGCTGCCCTTCCAGGGCAGCCAGTGCAAAAAAACATTTCCAGCATCTTGTCATCTAAAGCAGCACCATCTGCTGCACATGATCATGGGCCAGGAGGGGCTCAAGCACCTGGCTGACTTGGCCCGCCTCTGGCAAGTCCGCAGGGGAGACCAGCATAGCTGGTGCAGTGTGCCACCAGTTCGTCTCCTGCTCATGCGGTCCCTTGGTGCCAACAAAATGGCCGCCATCTCCCAGCCAGAGGCCTACATCAGCAACTCCTGCTTCGATAGCCAGAGGGTCACTCAGCCTTTCTAACCCATCAGGAGGAGGAAGCGGGGAAGGGGTTAGGAGTTCTGTGGAGGCACCATCTTGCTTGTGATGGGCCCAGGAGCTGGACCTTTAGAGCAGAGGTACTAAATCTCAGGTCTGTGGACCAAATCTGCCCCTCAGAGAAATCTGACTATCCTAATACGGCCAGTCAGACTTTGGAAGGAAAATGGCCAAAGTTGCAACTCCCTGGGTCCATCACCCTGAGTAACTTAAAAGACAAATCAGGAGAAAAGATAATTCCTGCACCAGCAAGGAATTGCCATACTTTTTTATTACTGATATAAAAAGAAAAAAAAAGAAACAGATACTGTGGGCAATTAATTGATATTGAAAAGCAGCCAGACATGTTGCCACATATAAAATAATGCAGGTGAAAAATGTGCATATGCTGAATCTGTCCCACTGGACAAAATCAAAATCTAATAAGGGTTTATCTAGAAATCTCCCAGGTCGGCTCTGCTGGGTGTGCTGCAACCTGCCCTAATGTAAAAACCAGGTGTAGAGTCCATGAAGAGGTGAACTGCCTCCTTGTTGGACATGCAGCAAGCTTAATGTTGTTGTTGTTGTTGTTGTTGTTGTTGTTATTATTATTATAACATTTCTATGCCGCCCCTTGCCGAAACCTCGGGGCGGCTTACAACATGATAAAATACATTGAAATACAATAGAACATAATAAATTACCATTAAATATAAAAATACAAAAAAATACATTGATTTACAAATACAAAATTAAAATTATCAGTATAAAATAAAAATATAGGAGGAGAAAGAGAAGGAAGAAGAAGTTGCCCAGGCCAGATCATATGTTTTAACAATTGAAATGATGTTTAAATAAAAAGGTCTTTACCTGGCGCCGAAAAACCAGTAACGACGGTGCCAGGCGGACCTCTTTGGGGAGTGAATTCCATAGGTTGGGCGCCACCGCAGAGAAAGCCCTCCTCCGGGTACTTACTCTCCTAATTTCTTTCATGGAGGGTTCCCGGAGAAGGGACTCTCCCGCAGATCTCAAAGGGCGGTCGGGCATATAGGGACGTAAGCGCTCGTTCAGGTAGCCAGGACCCAAGCCGTTTAGGGCTTTGTAGGTCATAATCAACACCTTGAATTGGGCCCGGGCTTCAATGGGAAGCCAGTGAAGCTGACGGAGGACTGGAGTCATGTGAGCATAACGCCCCATCCCCGTCAGCAACCTGGCAGCTCTATTTTGCACCAATTGAAGTGTTCGGACTGTCTTCAGGGGAAGCCCCACGTAAAGCGCGTTACAGAAGTCTAGGCGGGAAGTCACCAGCGCGTGTGTCACCGTCGCCAGGCAGTCGTACTCCAGGTAGGGGCGCAGCTGATTAATCAGCCGAAGCTGAAGGAAGGCGTTCCTCGCTACCG